TCTCTCTTCATGACAGGGTCTTGATACATATGCCATGCAGACTGGCTTTGAGCCCACTGTATAGCCCAGACTGACCTCGAGCTTGTGGTGATCCTCCTGCTTCAGCCTCCTGAGTGCAGAAATTATAGGCACCACCACACCTGGCAGCTTATTTTTTTTGCTGCTTTCCCATTGCTGCTGGGAATGTAGGCTAGTATAACCACTGTGAAAATCAGAAGCAGATTGGTCAAAATATTAAAACTAGAATCCCATTTGGCCTAGCTGTCCCCTCCGGGCGTCTTCCCCAGAGTGGTAGAGATGTCATAGCAGTGCCCTGCCGCACCCATGTGTAATGGTTAACCCTCACAAGCAGGCTGCACGCCCATCAGCAGATACACGGTCACACAGAATGTGGTATTTACATAGGAAGAGGTACTACTTTGCTATGGAGAAGGATAAACTGGAGTCGCTAACAGGAAATGGATGCCCTTGGGATCGCGTTTGGTGAAATGAATCAGATACGCAGGCTTAAATATCTCATGTTTTCTCTTATATGAAGAAAGCCAAATGTAAGTCAAGAACGTCTTCGGACACATCTGTTACTTGACCTCCTGGGAAGCTGAGGCAGACCCAAGGCTGCACTTGAGGGCTTCTGGCATCTGCCAGCCTGGGGCAGGAAAGACTGTTAGAGGAAGTGGCACAAGCACTCTGAACCAGGACAACGGAGACCACCTCCCAGCCACAGGGATACATGGCCTGTAGGCATCCAGCAGCCTGGCCCAAGAGGTGGCCTTTCGGTCCTATTCCTGGTGGCCTCAGGAAATGAGACCAGAGAGTCTTTGTTTGCAGTGTCCACCACAATAGGGCAGGGACTCATTTTGGACACTGGTCATGTTGCTTCTGCTCTGTAGACACGTTTCCACCCACATGACCTGGATGAGCCAAGACAGACAGCAGCAGCTCGTTGGCGGCCCAAGCCCGCCTGCCCGGATGTTACCGGAGTCCGGGAGGGAATCTGAGCTGGAATAGCAGCACCGAAGGTGCCTTTTCCTCTGCCTCCTGGAACCCGGCGACCTGAGGTGGCATTGAGGCCTGGCTAGCGTCATGACGGCTATGACAGACACCCAACTTCGCACGGTTGGCTCACACTTTATGACCTTATGGTGGTGCAAGAGCGAGCCACACTGGACTGCAAGCTCTGCTTTCTGCCTGGCCTCCGCCTGGCCCCTGAGGCAGGGCAGTGGCCTGGGGTCGCAGGCTCAGTTGGCACATGATCCCTAGAGGAGACAGCTGAGGCTCTACAGTTGCCGGGTTGCTGTGATAGGAAGGTCCAGGCTAGTGTATTCACCGCAGCTTACACTTAGAGTGTTTTTAACTTAGCATAGGCTTGCTGGGCCGCAACGCCAGCTTGAGTCAAGCAGCATCTGCACTGCAAAAGCCGCTTACTTCACAGTGCAGTCGTCTTCCTTACCTGTGTAGGCTCCACCCACACCCTGCGGATTCCAAGGAAGGATGTCCCTGAACTCACTGCATGTGACATAGCCCACTCCTTACCTCTGACCCCCTGCTGATGACAGGCAGGGCTGAAGGCCAGTGTTCTGCGTAGAGGGCGGGGCTTCTGGTAAGGACTGCTCTGCTCTTCAGAGCAATCTCAGGCGGGATGTGGCCCTGGCCGTTCCTGTGGCCCCTGTCATGTAGCAGAGATGCTCAGGGTGGCCCGCGGAGCAGGTTGGGGCTGCGGGGCGTGTGGTGGTGGTGCTGGAGTGCTCGGAGCGGGAGGGTCACCGCGTCGGGAGCCCCGCAGCAGCCCCTGCGGGCGGCTCCTCTCTGGCCCGCCCTCACCAGAAGGACTTCTCTGCGTTAGTGCGCACTCTGCTGTGCACCTTCTTGCCTTACAACCGCGAGGCTTCATTAATACAACAGAAATGACCGGCGGTTGGCTCCTTAGGACACTTAGAACATGTGACGCTTGGAGGTCTTGGAATCCACCTCTAGCTTTCTCTCTGCAGGATCAGCTGGTTGCCTGCTCCCAGCACGTCTGCTCAGGGCTTGCCTGCCAGGCGCTGACGCAGCCCCGCCCCCACAGCCCTCTCGGTTGCGCCTCCGATGTGCCCGCGCTGCAAGCACGGGACTGCTGACTCCTCCTCCTGCCCACCGAGGCGCAAGGAGAGGCTGTTGGGAGCCCTTCTTCCGTAGAGTTCTTCCCCATGGAAAGGTTTCGGTGCCGGATCTTCTCCTTACCCTCCACAAGCTCTCTCCAAGGAGAGCTATGCGCAGCGGGCGGGACTGATCCTGGGCCTGTGCCCGCCCTCCAACACTGATCAGGGCAGCTTGGAGCGAGAGAAAGACCCACGGGCTCACCCAGGCACATGGCCCTTCCTGGGCCGCTCGCTCCCGTGTGCGTGACCCTGGCTCGGTCCCCGTGTGCGGCTGGGCTATGTGCGTGTGCCAGCGGTGAGCTCACACCATCCGCGTGGTTGGAAACGCTTGCTCGTGGCAACATTTTCTGGGAAGGAGGTGGCTTTGGCGACAGAGTCAAGGAGCACAACTGCTTCGTCTGTTTTCTTCTATTTCTATATTCCTTAAAAGAGTTCTCACGGGCACCTGGGCCAGGAGTCCGCAGGAGGGTGGTTCCGCGCTGAGATTTCAGTCCGCTTTGATTTCTGTCCATGAACTCTTTGCCTACCCCTATGTCCTCAAGAGTTCCACCTACTTTCTCTTCCAGGAGATTTAGTGTCTCTGCTTTAATGTTTAGATCTTTAATCCATTTTGACTTTAGTTTAGTACATGGTGATAGACACGGGTCAAGTTTGAGTTTTCGGCATGTAGAGAGCCAGTTTTTCCAGCACCATTTGTTAAAGAGGCTGTCTTTCTTCCAGTGAGTATGTTTAGCCCCTTTGTCAAAGATAAGATGGTTGAGTGTGTTCATAGGGGATTCAGTGTCTTCTAATCTATTCCATTGATCCTTCTATTTTGATGCCAATACCATGCTGATTTTATCACAGTAGCCTTGTAGTATAATTTCAAGTCAGGAATAGTAATGCCACCTGCCTTCTCTTTATTGCCCAGAATTGCCCTTGCTATTCTAGGTCTTTTCCGGTTCCAGATAAATTTTAGGAATGATTTCTCTATGTCTGTGAGATATGTCGGTGGTAGTCTGATAGGGATTGCGTTAAATCTATACAGCAATTTTGGGAGTATGGCCATCTTCACAATGTTGGTTCTTCCTATCCAGGAGCATGGGATATCTTTCCATTTTCTGAAATCCTCTAGGATCTCTTTTTTAAGAGTACTGTAATTTTCCTTGAAAAGATCTTTGACTTCTTTAGTTAGGTTAATTCCAAGGTATTTCATTTTCCTTGGTGCTATTGTAAAAGGTATTGTTTCTATAATTTCCCTCTCAGTGTGTTTGTTGTCTGTGTAGAGGAATGCTATTGACTTTTGGGTATTGACTTTATAACCTGCTATGCTACTGAATTTCTGTATTAATTCTAGTAGCTTCTTGGTGGAGTTTTTTGGGTCCGCTGCTGCTGCGCGCGTGTCCCTCCTCCGGCGCTGGCCGTGCTTGCCCTTCCCTGCGAAGCGCCTGCCACCTGATGCCACAGCGGCTTGCCCTTTCTCCATGGCGTCTCCTTCTTTCCTTCACAAAGGCAGCTGTCGTCTTATTCGTGAGGAAATCGTGCTATTTACAGACAGAGGATTTATTTTCTGCTTGCCAGATAGCTGCAAAGCAGTTGCTTCGGTGTGCCTGTGACGTAGTCACCAATCAAAGCCCGCAGGCGATCCAGACATTACAGAGCTAAGGAACCGAGTCGCTCCGAGAGATGCTGAGATTTCACTTTCATTTTAAAATTCTGATTCTAGGTAATGGGACGCTGATTGGCGCATCTGCGAACGTCGTCTGTGCGGGGATCGCAGAGCAGCACGGCTGTGGATTCTCTTTCATGGAGTTTTTCAGGTACCTAACGCACATTTTACATTCCTGTTGGCCTGTCCAGTTCCTCAGCTTACTTAATTTTAAAAAATGCATGTTGCTAAACACCTGGATGAGTGTGTTTTTAGCAGTTAGAGACTTTGGTGCGGGGAGGTCAGCTGAGGAGAAAAGCACAGTGAACGTGTGCTCCTGAAGTCAACTTCACCGTGGCGAGGCACGTTCATACGCTTTGGAAGATTTGATTCTGCTCAGAGGTCAGGAAGTGGTTGCTGGCTGGCCGGGGTTCCACGGTGCTGCCCTCCTGAGAGGTCTGGTTGAGATGGGGGCTTTGCTGTCCACAAACGCGGTGGGGCGAGGGTCTGGCCACCTCCTCCTGCATCCTGTGGTGAGAACCCTTGCTAGCAGGCAGAGAGCAGGATTCTGGAGGAGGGCCCCTCAGTGCAGGCTGTGTGCAGATGTGGGCGGGGAGGTGGCACAGCTGGGCCCTGTGTAGGAGACTCACTCTGCAAGAGCGGAGTCCATGCTGGGCCTTGGCATGCTCCGTGGCTGAGCTTGCAGTGCGCCCGTGAGCAGGTCAGGGAGCCCAGGGTGTGTCAGTGGCACCCATGAAATGCGCAGTCAAGGTGAACATCCTTCCCTGGATGTGGAGCTGTATTTCCAGGAAAGGGCTTTGAGCACGAACTCACAGCAGGATGCACGGGTAGGCATGGGTTGCACAGGTTGAAGAGCTGCACTCTCGGCTGTGGCTGAGTGGAGGGTGATGTGCAGCTCCTGGATCCTGCGGTCCCTGGTCCTCTGACAGCACCTCTTGCCAGCCTTGGGCTGGGAAAAGAACCTGGCTTGGCATACCAGGAAAGGACTGAGTGTGGGCTTAGCCCACTTTGTGTTGCTATAACAAAGTAAGTAAGACTGGGTGATTTATAAAACTGGTTTTCTGGCTCACGGGTCTGGAAGCGCTGAGAAAGTCCCAGCACGTGGTTCTGGCATCTGCATGGTGTCCCTGGGGCCTCTGTGCTGCATTACAACATGGCACAGGGTGTCGCACGGTGAGGACAGCAAGCAGGCCCCAGCAGGGTGCTACCGGGCCACGCCCTTCTCAGGCAGCCCGGTCTGCAGGTGGGCCAGCCCTCCACGAGAGCACAGCCCACGCAGCCCAGGCACCATCAGGGGAACTTGGGGCTCGGTTTTCAGTTGTTCTTTTGGTTCGCTTTGTTCTTTTACCAGTTTTGTTGAAGTGCAAATTTGCTTAATTTATTTTTATTTTCTTTATTTGCTCTCCGTACGTGTTCGGGCTGCATCACCCCTGCCCACTGCTCTAGCACTGTTAAACAACACTGAGATTGCAGCTTACCTCAGAGAGAATGGCTGTCACCAAAGGTGAACCAATAACAATGCCAGCAGGGCAGGAGGAAAAAGGAGCCCTTCTCCCCATGGGTGGGAGTGCAGACTGGCGCAGCCAATGTGGAGATCAGCGTGCAGAGTCCTCAAAGCACTAGGCTTAGCGGTCCCATTCAGCCCAGCTGTTCTCCTCCTGGGTATCTTCCCAGAAGGATTAGAAACATCATACCACAGTGATGTGTGTGTACCCGTGTTTGTAGCGGCACAAATTTCATAGCTGAATTATGGAAACAGCCCAGATGCTCATCAACAGAGGAGGGGATAAAAAGATGTGGGTTTAAAATATACAGTGGAAAAAAAATACAGTGGAGCACTACTCTGCCATAAAGAGGGATAAGCTCAAGACTTTTGTAGGTACATTGATGCAACTTGAGACCAGACTCGTAAGTGAAATAGGCCCAACTCGCACGCGTAAGCATCCTGTTGTCTCCCTGGTGTGAGAAACTGAGAGACTAAATAAGTGCAAAAATGTACAGTACATATTGTGAAATGGGAAGAAATTGTTCAAAGGGAAAAAGGAAATGGGATGGATGAAAGGAGAAGGCAGCAGGGAGAAGGGGATGCCACTCAGCTACACTGTTAGAGTACCTTAACTTATTAAAGGGGAAGATTTGTGCTCATAGTGATAGGAGAAATTTTGCTGCCCATATCTTATGCTCCGAGCAACTACTTTATTGATTATTAGTATTTTTTATTTTATTTTATTTTTATTTTGTTGCTGGCTCAGCCCCCTCTGGGGGTGGGGCTGGCACTGCATGTGGTACTGCAGATTGAACCAAGCAACTACTTTATTATTTTTTTGTTTTTATTTTTTTCCCATAATTTTATTGATAAATAGCAATGAGACAGTTGCAAATCAAATCAGTAGGACAGTTTCAATAATTAACACACTGCATATATTCTTCCTAGTGGTTAATTGCTGTACAAGA